ATTAGCTGAAAGACACTGGATGGTGGAAAAACAAACAAACAAACTGCTTAATTAGATCAACCTATACACTTTAAAGATGTTTTAACATCAGAATGGAACTCGGGGAATATGTTATAGGAAGAGGTTTTGCCTATAATTCCATAGGTGATGAAAAACTAAGGGTTGCATAAAAATTGAAAGATCTGATCTGAATAAGAGAAGCTTCTAAATGAAAGGCATGACTCAGGAAGAGACTCAGAGAGACAACAATGTAGAAGATGCAGAAAGCAGATCCCCCTGCATGGAGACAGCTTAACAAACCAGCTGAAGAGGGACACAGTTCATCAGACTGGAAAACCTTGATATTGAAGACAGATGATCAGGGCTACAGTTATGGAGGATCGTAACACCAATGTCTAAGTGGATCTTCATAAGGACATTCAGACTATTAATTTGTGGAATTGATAATTATTTCTATTGTAAAAGTTAAACTGTGCACAATTTTTAGCTTAAAAAGGGGGATGTTGTAGAGGAATTTTAATTCAGAACATGCCTGTTTTGGCAAGAGATCACATCCAAAGACCTTCTAGGTCTGTGTGATCTGGATAGAGTACAAACACACCTTTAATCCAGGAGACAGGCAAGCAGATCTGAGTTCAACACCAGCCTGGTATAGAGCAAGTTTCAGGTAAAGAAACGCTTAGGTCCAGGAGAGATGGTACACATCTTGAGTCCCACATAATGAAGGTAAAGTTAGTTTGTAGAAGGAATCACCCATGTTTGAAAGTGATGTCTAATTGAGTGGCAGAAAAGTGACAAATGGCGGGGGCAGGGGGGGCTGCTGTTTGTTTTTTTTTTTTTCGAGACAGGGTTTCTCTGTGTAGCCTGTCCTAAAATTGCTTTTGTAGACCAGGCTGGCTTCAAGCTCGAACTCCATCTGCCTCTGCCTGAGTGCTAGGATTACAGGTATGCACCACTGTGCCTGGCTGAGAGGAGGCAGTTTTACCACGACAGTAACAGGGAGTCAGGTTGCAGAGAACGAACACAGGTGAATGAGCCAGAGAATGAGAATGAGCCAGAAGATTAGAAAAGTTTGTTGGAGTTAGTTTGAGGCCAAGCAGAGCAATTCAGGGGCTGAGAGAGAAACCAGATTGAATACATCAGCTGGGAGAGGAGTTTCAGCCAGAACAGCTGAGTTAAGCCAGCCAGTCCAGAGCTCAATAAGAACAAGAAAGGGTGAGCTTATTAAGCAGTAAGTCTCAGAGGTGAAAACATTCTAGGCCTAGGTTAGTTTGTATGGAGGCTAGAAGCTTCCAGTAGGCCTAGGTTAGCAGATGGAGGCAGTAAGCCTCTGAGACAACAATTAAAACAGATGAATAAAAGTTACTTTTACATATTAATCTACCTGTCAGTTAATAAAGCAGCATTTTGTTTACCTGTCAAGCTCTAGCACTCAACCCTTAAGAATTTGAAATTACTCTAGGATTCTGTTCCCACCAAAGAGAATGAGGGACAGGTTCTAAAATATGGTGACTTCACCCAAGCCATATGGTAAACTTGGCAGCCATCTGCTAAAAGGTCCTGACCATCCTTCATGGACTATAAACCTAAGTGAAAGTCCACGGGAAACCTTCCTCACGTTCTCAAAAAAAAAAAAAAAAAAAAAAAAAAAAAAAAAGGGGGTGTGAGTAACAGTAAGATGGCTCTCAGGTAGGAGTGCTTGAGACAATGCCTGACAACGTAAGGGTCATTCCTGGGATCCTCATTGTAGAAGAGCCAGCTTCTGCAAGTTACCATCTGAACCCCATAGGTGTGCCCTGGCATGCCATGCATATGCCCACACACCCATACAAAATAAACAAAGTGTAATAATTTTTTTTAAAAAGGGGGCATCCTTGGGCCCCCTGTGAATTCCAGGCCACTCTGGTCTATAAAGTGAGCCCAGATCGGTCGGGGCTACACAGAGAAACCCTGTCTTTCATGTCTGTATTCAAGTAGCTGAATATTGGCTGGAAAGATGTCTTAATGGTTAATAGCACTGGCTGCTCTTCCAGAGGACCTAGGTTCAGACCTAAGCACCCACGTGGTGGCTCACCACCTTCTGTAACTCCAGCTCCAAGGGATGCATCTTCCTCTTCTGGCCTCCACGGGCACTGGCTGCACATGGTACACAGGCAAACACCCATATACATAAACACACACACACACATTTTTAAAGCTGAATGCTACTGGAGAAAAAGCACACTGGGTCATGTGGTTTAGCTTTAAACTCATGATCACAAACTCCAAATGGGTACCCTATCCCAACAAGACAGGCCTACTAAGAACTGAAGTTTCCTCTCTCCTACATTTGCATACCTCTTCACCTTTGATAACCTTACTATCAGTGGAACCTTCCTATCCCAGGTCATTTCTCCTGATTTCCTCTAAGGTCAAGCGAGCCTCCCTTTCCCTGTATCATTTTTGATGGTTCATACAAATGCTCAGGAATAATAGATACCATCTTTTTTTGCCTTGTTTGTTTTCTGACAGGGTTTCTCTGTGTAGTCCTGGTTGTCCTGTAACTCCCTCTGTATAGGAGGCTGGCCCTAAACTCAAAGATCTGTCTGCTTTTGCCTCCAGAGCACTGGGATTAAATGTGTGTGCCATCACCGACTGACATCTACCATTTTTTAAACATCTCCACTGGGCTGAGATGAAGCTCAGTGGCAGAGAACTTGCCATTGCCCTGGGTTGGATTTCTACAACCAAAAGGGAAACAAAACAAAACTCCTCCCTTGACCTTACATCCTTCTGCACTTATCCAATGTCTGCTCCACCCACAGCAAAGCTCTCAAGCCGCTTTCATGTACTGTTTCTATTTCCTTACTTTCCTGTTTATTTTTTAGCCCATTCTACTCAGGTTAACATCTTCAGTGGGTACATACAAGTTAAGCTGAAGTTACCAGTGATATTTTCCATTTATCTCCAAGATAAATTGAGCTTCTGGCTCAACTGTACCAGAACTCTCAGCACCTGAAAACAGAAACCTCCCTTCCTGCCTCAAATTTCTGGCCTTGGATCCTACAACTCAACACTCCAGACTTGACTTTTTGTTCAATTCTTTCTCTCTTATACTGGAATTTCTCTTCTATCTTTTCTTAGTCAAATCTTAAACCAATAGTCCCACAAACAGTGGTTGAATCAGCTCATGAAGTTTAAAAACATCTGACTTAGTTGCTGACATTTGAGCATCTGGATTTTATATACTTCTAAACCTCACTTTTGGATTCTTTGGGGGGGGGGGAGATAAACAGTGTCTGTTGATAATGGGCCATCATTCCCTAACATAGCACAGGTAGATTGCACATGGATAGAACAGAAGAAGCTCCCTTGACACTAGGTGCATTTGTTATCCTCATAGCTAAATCAAGAGGTTTAGGAATACAATCCTGAGTCACATTCCAAGACCTCGAGAGGGAGAGGGGATCATTAGGACATCTAGCAATAAGGCCTTTGCCAAATTTGCCACTGGTTGGGTAGGGTTCCCCAGGCGAGGGGGAAGGGCTTATGAAGGAAGTCAATTGGGATCGTAAACAGAAGTACCACCTCTTTCTCTCTGAACTGAGGTACCCCTGTGCTGGTTCTCTTAATCTCACATCCGGTTTTATAAGGCCCTTTCCTACGAAGATCACCAAAGCCACTGGGCCAAGACAGCCCTTTCTAGCCGTCGATCTTGAGCACTGGACGGTGCCGGGGAAGTGGGAGAGTGCGGGAACTCACTGGCTCTTACTCGGTAGCGGGCCACAGTAGAGAGCTAAGCCCAGCTTGGGAGGAGACTGGGCAGGGCCGAACCTTGGAGCGTCCTCGACCCCACGGCTCAGCCCCGCGCGCTTAGTTCAGCTAACCTTAGTCCTCCTGCCCTTCACGGCTCTGAGGGAAAGACAGAGCTAAGGAATCAGGGCAGCCGGGCGGAGATCCGACTGCCCACAGGCCGCAAACCTCCGCCCAGGAAGCCCCACCCAACGGGAACCAGGACGCCTCCGCGCCAGCAAAGCCCACGCGCGACCGGGCGAGGGCGCGGAAGGGCGCGTGCGGCGTGACGACGCGACTCGCGGCGCATCTCGTGACGCCATCGCGCCCGCTTTTGAAAGTTGGCGCCCGGGGCCGCCTCCCATGCTGCCCTGCGCCAACCCCTCCCCTCACCTTTCCTCCCCCGCCCTCAACTCGCCGCCGGCCGGCCCCCCCCACCCGTCTCTTCCCTTATCAGCACCCGCGGCCCCGGCAGCGCCGACGCAGGCGCACTGCACCGCGCCGCCGCCATTTTGTGTCCGAGCCTGTGGAGCGATTAAACCGTGCGCGGACCTGCTTCTTTGGCGGCAGCGGCGACAGCGGTAGCCAGTGCGGGCACGCGGAGCTGGCCGGGGACGCCAGGTGGCCGGAGCGGTGGAGCGGCGGCGGAGCGGGCGCTGCGGGGGGTGTGGCGCGAAGGTAAGGGGGCCCGGGGTGGAGGAGGTTTCGCGGGCCGCCTCTAGGTGTCACGATGGGGCCGCTCCGGTCGGCGCTGGCTGCAGCCCGGCGCCAGCGCCGCCGCCGGGGGGTGTTTGTCTCCCTCTACCGTCCCTGCTGCGGCGCGGCCGCCGCCATTGCCCGGCGCCACCGCCAGGGCCTGGCCAACCCCCTCCACGCCCGCCCGCTAGCTTCCCCCCTCCCAACATGGTAGGCCTCTGGCGGCCGCGGCGACGGAGGCCTGCGCTCTCGGCGACTCCATTTTCCTTCCTTTGTCTCTACCCTCGAGGCCGGCTTTTGGCCCGGCTGCTCTTCGGGCCGCGGCCCGCCCTCTGCCCTCCGCCCCTCCCGCGGCGGGTGGCCCTAACCGAGGCTGGACCTCTGGAGGCTCGGTCTCTGCGCTCGCCCCGCGTAGGGGTCCTGAGCCCTCCGCCGCCCGCGCGTAGCCCGGTCCCGGAACCGTGTGGGTGTCGGGTCCCGACCGCCGCGCCTCCGCCTGCCCGTCTTCCAGTCCTCCCGGTCCCGGAACCTACCCGGCCGCCCTGCGTGCTTCTCCGGCAGCTGGGGCGCTCTCTAGTTTCCCCGAGTCCGATCCTCGCCGCTGCCGGTCTCCGTCGCCGCCGAGTGGCGCAGGCGGCGCTGGTGTGGCAGCGAGCAGAGGGACCCCTGAGCTGCCGAGAGCTCCCTCTGCAAGGCTGGCTGAGCTGCTCGCGCCTCGACGCCGCCCGAACGGGCGGGGGAACGCGCGCTCGCCGCCCCCGCCGGGCCCCGCTGCGCCCCCAAACTCAAGCCAGGGCATCGCGCGGGATCCGACCGGTGCGGCCCCCAATGGTGGGCGGAAAAGACACGAAATTCCGCACCGAATAGTTTTCCTCCGGCTAGGTTCGCTTCGCACTCTTCAGCCCCTTGGAATGATAGCAGTCAGACTTTGTGCGCCCAGAGACCTGAAAGGGACCGAAACTTCACTTCACTCTGATCTCAAGTGATGTGATAAACTTAAATCGGGAGCATGGGCAGATTCCGTTTGTACAGGCGATCCAGGAGTCCCCCCCCCCCCCATTAAAATGTTCTGACGGTGACTTCCTACTCTACTTAGGACCTGATGCTTCAGTGCTATAGGCTAAGACGTAAGACAGTTCAAGCCCTCTGGGATTGTGCAACCCGATCTAAAGCGCCAGTAGGGCAGAATGAACTTATTCTTGACTAGACTGGTAATTTGACTGTTCGATGAAATGTGAGGGTTGATGTTGTAATTGAATCCTGGGTCACTTGCAGCAGATGGTTTATAAATATCTGTGCCTAATGTAACTACTCTTTAGTAACTGACTTCCTGTATTGAGTTTAGCGTTAAGTAAACATTAGCAAAGAGAATATTTTTTTGGAGTTTAGATTAACCGGAAAAAGCTAAAATTCCAAGGCCTCCATAGGCAGGAAAAGAAATGAAACAGGTTATTTACCTCCACTTGGTCTTTTGCATTAGAAAGCTTCCTCTGTTAAATTGCTGGAGTAACTTTTCTGTGCCCCCCCCCCCCTTTTATTACCAATTGGTCGCTGATGTGTGGCTTAGGTTCTTGAGAAAAGACAGTCTAAATTGACATTTTTAAGAAAGAGAAGATATTTGTGTTTATGAGGCACTTTACACCCCCACCCCAACAGAGTTTCTCCGTGTTCCCTGGCTGGCCTCGAACTCAGATTCATCTACCTCCGTCTTGAGGGCTTAAAGGCGCACTCCTACCGCTTGTTTTAAGCATCATGGTGCTTAAATTGTGCCGCTCACTGTGTGTGAGCTCACAGACCATGTGAGATCCTAGCAAACCACGTTATATGCAACTCCTTGAACACTCAACCGTGTGCCATCCCCTTCCCTTAAATGAATCTAGAATCCTCGGAGCTAGTGAAGCCTCACTAGCCACATTGAAATCCTATGGAAGTATATTTTTTGTAGTGCTTGTGCATGCCATGCAAGTGTTCTACTTTTGAGCTATGTTTTCAGTCATTCAGCATCTCCTCCCTTTTTTGAACTCTCCAGAATGTGCTTCCTCATCCTCCCCCACAATAAAATTGCACTAACTAAATGTAGTAGTGCCTATAGAATGCCAGTCTTGGTAGAAGATCCATCTTTCTTTTGGCCAAACTATATAATTTATTACATTCTTTTGAGTTTTACTGTCAAGTTTGTGTTTGACAAGTGGCATATTTTGTTTATTAAAATAAGCTGCACAAGTTCCCAATGGTCTTGAATGCCAGTACTTTGGAGATAGAGGCAGGAGGTTAGGTTCAAGCACATCCTTAGCTGGATGAGACTACCTTAGCAGATAGAGAGGTTGTGATTTGTTTTTGTAGTACTGGGGTTTGAACTCACAGCCTTGAGTAAGCTAGGCAAGTGTTCTCTGCCTCTGAGCTATAACCCATAGTCCCTTTTTAGTTTGAGGTAGTCTCATTAAGTTGCCTTGAATTTACTGTGTGTCGTAGGTAGACCTCCCACTTCAGTCCTCCTAACTCTCCAATACTTGGGACTACAAGCTTAAGTCTAGACACACTTAAAGTTAGGACGGGTCAGGAGTGAGAGTGGCTAAAGTTAGGCCCCAAAACTACAACAACAAACAAATGGCAAATACTAGCAAAGTACAATGAAAATAAAAAATGTCATGAAATCCATTACTTTATATGCTAATTATTTTTTTACAATGGAAAGAAAACAACTAAAGGAAATAACTACAAGGAAAATTAATTATGAGGTAAATTAATACAAGACAACCCAAAGGGCCTACTTATTTAAACATTAATTTTTGTTGGTTATAGTGTGACACAGTTTTGTTTTGTTTTGTTTACATTAGTGTTCTGCCTTCTTGTCTGTGTGTGAGGGTGTCAGATCCTCTGGAACTGGAATTACAAACAGTTGTGAATTGCCATGTAGATCCTGGGATTTGAACCTGGGTCCTTGGAAGAGAAGCCAGTGCTCTTAACCACTGAGATCTTTAGTCTCAGCAGAGGCAGGCTGATCTGTGTGAGTTCCAAGACTAGTGTGGACTTCTTAGATCCTGTCACCAAAACAAAACAAAAAATTCTTGCTGTTTGTTTTGGGTTTTGTTGTTATTTTGACATAGAGTCTCATATTAGCCAGGATCTGGCTATGTAGAACAGGCTAAACTCCAGGCTTAGAGATCCACTTGCCTCTGCCTGGTATTAAAGACATGAGCTACCTTTAGTAGACTGGTAGCCTTTTTGTGTGGGTGCAGGCCAGATGTGTGTGAAAGTTGAGGACAACATTGTGGAGTCCATTTTTCTCCTTTTCTTTTTTGAGACTGATTGGTCTAGAACTTGCTATACAGACTAGATTGGTGCTGAACTCATACCTGCCTCCTTTGCCTACCAAGTGCTGGAATTGAAGTCCTGGGCCATCACTCTTGACTCCTTGGATTTTTTTTCCCCTTTTCTTTTTGAGATAGGGTTTTTCTACATAGTCCTGTCTCCTGGAACTGATTATGTAAACCAGGCTGGCCTCACATTTGATCTGTCTGCCTCTGCCTCCTGAGTGCTGGGATTAAAGGTGTGGGCTGCTACTTTGGGCCTTTACTTGGATTCTGAACTCAGGTCATGAGGCTTTCCTAGAAATAGAATTTTATCTACAGAGCCATCTTGCCCAGCTCAAGGACTTTATTAATTTAATGAATAATGTGACACTGTCTACATAAAAAAAAAATCCTGCCTATTTAAGAGTAGTTGGAGCAGGGTGTGGTGTTTCATGCCTTAAACCCAAGCACTCTAGAGGCAGAGGCAGGCAGATCCCTGAGTTTGAGGCCAGGACAGCCAGGAGTCTGTTAACACACAGAAACCCTGTCTGGAGAAACAAACAAACAAAAAAGGTAGTTGAAAAATGTTAGGGATCTTTCCGACCTACTAAGAAAATTTAGGTAGTGCAAAAGTTAACCTTAAAAATGCATTTTTAAAGTTTTAAGCAGTACTCAGGGAGGCAGAGGCAGGTGGATCTCTGTGAGGCCAGCCTGGTCTGTAAAGTGGGTCCAGGACAGCCAAGGCAACACAAAAAACCCTGTCTCAAAAAAAAAAAAAAAAACAAAACAGCAATAACAAAGAGTTTTAGGATTTTTTTTTTTTTTTTAAATGATGTTCAGAATTAAAGGAACCCAACTGGGACTAATGACTGGCTTGGGAGTTCCTTGGCAGAGTCCATGCGTGGCTGACTAATGCTGTAGGGAGGAGTCATATGGCAGAACACTTATTTACTGGCAGAAAGTTTCCTTTTGAGCTTTTTTTTTCTCCTAGGGGGAAGTGCTGCTAGCATCACAGCTGTTCCACATCATCTACTTTTCAGACATCATCTCTGTCTTTTTAATGTAGGATTTGGCCATCATATCTTTCTTACATGTGCTGGCTCTAGATGACCTCAAACTTAGTATAAATAGATCCTTCTTCAAATAACTTAAGAATTGTCATGATTCAAGACTGAAGAGGAACTTCCAGGTTTAGGAAAAATAGAGGCAAATATGTGTAATGTTGAAGATAACTGTTCTCAGATAGGTAAATTTGTCATGTAACATTTATTTTCAGAGACACTTACAGCCAATTGTGGTAGTACATAAGGCTGAGGCAGAGGAGGATTAGGAGTTTGGAACCAGCCTAGCGTATATAATGATACTTTGACTCAAAAAATGCCAAAATAAAACAACAAAAAGAAACCCTTCTGGGACAGAAAATGGCTCAGTAGTTAAGAGCATTTGCTCACAGAACCAAGGACCCAGATTCTGTTCCTCTCACCCACACTCGTGGTGTGGCTCACAACCATCTTTAACTCCTGTCCGAGTTCAGCATCCTGACTTCTGGCCTCCGTGCATTTACACACATGCAGGCAAAACACTCACACATAAAAGAAAAAGCAAATCTCTTTTACTTTTTAATCTTAAAACAAAAAGACTTGTGAAACAGGTTGTATGTACCCCTGATTGGCCTAGACCCCTTTTGCTGTGCTTCTGCCTCCCAAATATTGGAATAACAGGCATGTGCCACCCTAAAGGGTTGGGGAAATACCATACAGACTGTCTATCACTATCTACAGATCTTCCTGATCAGTATCTTTGTGTGTTTTTTCAGTATAATATTTGAATGCAAAGATGTAGATTTGCGTAGACTATTGACATACACCTCAAGATGGTATATTTTTCATACACTTTATTTTGGAATAACTTAAATTTTTATAGGGATATAAATTTTGTTCCCTCTGATAGTGCTATGGACTTCAATATGAAATTGTTTCTTAGACAAAATAACAGTGTTAAGCTGCCTCCCAACAGAAGAGCCATGCCATCTCTTTATTGAGTTTTAAAAGTATTATATATCAACTTATTTTACTGAGCTAGTTAAATTATGAGATAGATTTCCTCTTCATTGTAACTTGTATGCCAAGTTCTTTGAAACCTTCTGTTGCTTATAAAGACTTATTTTTTATGTGTATGAATGTTTTTGCCTGCATGTATGTGTGTATTTCATGTGCATACCTGGTACCCAGAGGGGCTCAGAGTCCCTGGAACTGGAGTTACAAACAGTTGTAAGGCTCCATGTGGGTATTGGGAACTAAATCAGGGTCCTCTAAAAGGGCAGCAAGTGCTCTAACTTCTGTGCCATCCCTCCATCTGTTTGTTGTTGCGGTAGTGGGTGTTTTTTTTAATAATTTTTTAATTAATTAATTCAATTTACATATTGGTCATTGACCCCTTCTTCCTCCTGCCAATCCCAGTCCCAACCTCCTTCCTGCATCCCTCTCCTGTATTTACCCCAACTCATCTATTCACATGAGGAATTTTTTTTTTTTTTTTTTTTTTTTTTGAGAGAGTCTCACCTTAAACTCATAATCCTACCT